CACGAGTGTAATCTGACCCTGCAGCGCTGCCCGGTCCCTCGCAGCGCTGCAAGCTATTCCCCTCAGAGAGGTGGAGTACTTACAGTGCTGCGAGAGAGCTCTCGCCGCGCTGGCGGCGCGACTACACTCGCACTTCGCAGCGCTGCCGCAGCAGCGCTGGGAAGTCCTAAGTGTAGCCAAGGCCTATGTGTGTGCTGGCAAGTCGGTAATGAAGTCTTGCAGTGACATGTGATCATGTCACCTGAACTGGAATCCATCTTTAATCTGGTGCTTTTCCAGTGAGGGGGTGGAAACCCAGAGGGACAAAGGGTTCCCGCCTTATGCAAAAGATATATAAAGGGGTGGAACAGAACAAAGAGGGGAGAGAGGAGCCATCATGAAGAATCCCCTAGCTACCACCTAAGCTGGAACAAGAGCTGTATCGGGGAAAGAATTGTGTCCAGGCCTGGAAAGTGACCAGTCTGAGGAAAAAACTTACTGAAGCATCTCTAAGGGTGAGATTATCTGTATTTAGTTTGATTAGACATAGATTTGTGCATTTTATTTTATTTAGCTTGGTGACTTACTTTGTTCTGTATGTTACTACTTGGAATCACTTAAATCCTATTTTCTGTATTTAATAAAATCACTTTTTACCTATTAATTAACTCAGAGTATGTATTAATACCTGGGGGAGCAAACAGCCGTGCATCTCTCTCTATCAGTGTTATAGAGGGCGAACAATTTATGCGTTTACCCTGCATAAGCTTTATACAGGATAAAATGGATTTATTTGGGTTTAGACCCCATTGGGAGTTGGACATCTGAGTGCTAAAGACAAGCACACTTCTGTGAGCTGTTTTCAGATAAACCTGCAGCTTTGGGGCAAGTAATTCAGACCCTGGGTCTGTGTTGGAGCAGACGGGAGTGTCTGGCTCAGCAAGACAGGGTGCTGGAGTCCTGAGCTGGCAGGGAAAACAGGGATAGAAGTAGTCTTGGCATATCAGGGGGCAGCTCCCAAAGGGGTTTCTGTGATCCAACCCGTCACAATGACTTTCATCCTGAAGGCTCCAAATCACTTCATAAACTATATGCAGTGTAAATGCCATCATAGAAATACAGCCGCTTTTCTATCATAGATTCCCAGCTATTTCTTTAGTGGAAATTGTCACTGCATCCTTCACTGGCCAACACTCTTGTGGCCTTCTGCCATACAAACAGAAAGCAATGTGCAAATATTACAGGGTTTGGAAGTAAAACTCCTGCTAACCCTGGTAGGGATAGTTCTGTTCTGTTTAGGTTCTTACACTGTACTTCACTCATCATCCCTGGTATCTGTTTTGCGTTAATACTTTTCTGGCAGCGTGGGTATCCTCCAGACAGCCAGCAGATGGAGTCAGAGCCTCTACTGAAGCCATAAAGGACAGTTACACTTATGGACTAGTACAAGCAGTGCAAAAGGTTTCCATGAGATCTTAGTATGTTCATTCTGTATGTGAAGAAGCCCACCTAGACTTTCTAGACACAGGCTTGCTCTAGAGGACACTGCTGCACAGCAGGGTGTGAGGCTTCCCTTCCCCTTCTTCCAGCTGAAATGTGTATTTTAAAAACATGTATCGTATGTGTAAATAGAGTTTGATGGCAAATATGTAGGGCTAAATTATGCTTCACAAAAGGCAAAGCCATGCTCAGGAGGAGGAGGTGCCAGTAGCACACTACCTAAGCAGCAATCTCAAGTGACATTCTAAGAACATAAGAACGGCCATACCGGGTCAGACCAAAGGTCCATCTAGCCCAGTATCCTGTCTTCCGACAGTGGCCAATGCCAGGTGCCCCATAGGGAATGAACAGAACAGGTAAACATCAAGTGATCCATCCCCTGTTGCCCATTCTCAGCTTCTGGCAAACAGAGGCTAGGGACACCATGCCTGCCCATCCTGGCTAATAGCCATTGATGGACCTATCATCCATGAACTTATCCAGTTCTTTTTTGAACCCTGTTATAGTCTTGGCCTTCACAACATCCTCTGGCAAAGAGTTCCACTGATTGACTGTGTGTTTTGTGAAGAAATACTTCCTTTTCATAGAGGCAGTATGATATTTTCTGTCTTCTCTATCCCTTACTTAATGATTCCCAACATTCTGTTTGCTTTTTTGACTGCCGCTGCACATTGAGAGGATGTTTTCAGAGAACTATCCACAATGACTCCAACATCTCTTTCTTGAGTGGTAACAGCTATTTAGACCACATCATTTTATATGTATAGTTGGGATTATGTTTTCCAGTGTGCGTTTGTAGCAAGGCAGTGTGGTTCCCTGCCGCCCCGGAGAGGGTCGAGCCCCTCTGGACACCAGTGTGTGCGGGGCCGGCCAGAGAGTTTTGAGCCCACCTCCCAGAGGATCAGGACAGGAAGTAGAAAAGGAGGGATCCAGAACTCACTTGGAGAGCAGCTGCCGGAGAGGCTAGACGACTCTGGCCTAGCTCCCGGTTGGGAGATCCCCGCAAACTACAGAGGACTCAAGGACTGGCCTGACCTGCTGATGCCCAACACCAACCAGAGCCCAGAGGAGCTGCCTAGCCTGCCCCTGGCCAGTTACCCAGAGCACCCCATGGTGCCTGACCCCTCGGAGGACACCGTCCGGACCCAGGAATCTCTAGAAGGGGAGTTCAGAAGTAGCCCGGGGGCAGCCGACTCTAGTCTGGCTGCAGCACTGCAAGAGCCTATGTCAGTGTGTTGCGGCCAGGATCCCCACTGACTCAGCAGTGGGTTTTCTGCCGCTGCCAGGGCCCCGAGCTGGGATACAATGGAGTGGGAGGGCCTGCGTCACCCCTGCCACCCAACTTGGGGGTGTCAGTCTCCCCCTCTCCCAGGCCCCTCTGAGCCGAGGGCCTGGGCTTGTTGTTTACCTGCCTTTGCTCAGTCCCTGCGTGAGGGCCTAAGCCATTGACTCTCTGTTGCCCTGCCCTGACCCAGGGCCTGGGCCTGCTAATTGTATAAACTGTTTGCTCAGCGCCTGCCTGAGGACCTGAGCCCTTGACTCACTATTGCCTGTCGACCAGGGGCCGGGCAAGAATAACTGTCTGTGTTTGCCTTTACTGCTGCTGTGGCGAGAGACTCCCATGGCCTCGCTAATTTCCTGTCAGCAAGTGGAAGGAAGTATCGAGGCGGGGTCGTTCCCCGACGTCCTGGAGAGGGACAAGCTCCAGCCAAACCCCTCTACAGCATTATTTTGCATTTATCAACATTAAATTTCATCTGCCATTTAGTTGCCCAGTCACCCAGTTTTATGAGATCCCTTTTTAACTCTTCACAGTCTGCTTTGGACTTAACTGTCTTGAGTAGTTTTGTATCATCTGCAAATTTTTCCAGTGCACTGTTTATCCCCTTTTCCAGATCATTTCTGAATATGTTGAATAGTACTGTACAGACACCTGTGGGACACCACTATTTACCTCTCTCCATTCTGAAAACTGAACATTTATCCCTACCCTTTGTTTCCTATCTTTTAACCAGTTACTGATCCATAAGAGCACCTTCCCTTTTAGCCCATGACAACTTACTTTGTTTAAGAGCCTTTGGTGAGGGACCTTGTCAAAGGCTTTCTGAAAATCTAAGTGCACTATATCCACTGGGTCCCCCTTGTCCACATGCTTGTTGACCCCCTTCAAAGAATTCAAGTAGATTGGTGAGGCATGATTTCCCTTT